GGCGGGGCAGGATTGGCAGTAGTGGGAATCTGCCTGGGAAAGGGAGGGTACACCTCTTCAGCAAGGGTACTTGCATAATGAACACGTGTATACCTAACCTAACCCTAAACTGTACCCCACATCTTTAAAATAAAAATAAATAAATAAATAAATAAAAAAGAAAACCAATTTTGTATCCAGGACTAATGTAATGTTTCAAAAACTATTCAGAAAATATCGTGCCTTTACCTAAAAAAGAATCATGTGTATTATAATAAAGCAGATGCTCATTCAAAAAAAAACATTAAGTTGCTGCAAATATTTGTGTACAAGTTTTGTGTATGTGTTTTCAATTCTCTTGGTTGTATATCTAGAATTGCTGGGTCATACAGTAACTCTACAGTTAACTTTTGAGAAACTGCCCAACTACTTTTCAAAGTGGCTGCACTATTATATATTCCTACAACAACACATGAGGGTTCTAATTTCTCCACATCCTCCCCAGCACTTGCTATCATCTGTCTTTTTGATTACAGCTATCCTAGTGGGTGTGAAGTTGATGCCTTTCCCTGATGACTAATGATGCTGAACATCTTTTCATGTCCTTATCGACTATTTGTGTATCTTCTTTGGAGAAATGTCTATTCAGATTCTTTGCTCATTTTTAAATTGAGTTATTTGTCTTTTAATTGTTGAGGTATAAATGTTCTTTGTACATGCTGATACTAGATTTTATACGATATATGACTTGCAAATATTTTCTCTCAATATGTTAAAATTCCTAGATAGAAACAGAAAATAGAAAACTGTGTGTTCCTTTGAGTAGTAATGCTGCACTAAGGGTACTTTAGAAAAGCTTTGTTCAAGTCCTGGATGTGACCCTAACTGGCTATATAATTTTGGACAAGGACTGAACATCTCTGATACTCAGTCCTCTCATTGTAAAATGGAAATAATAATATAATAGTAATAATATCTATCATTTACAAGATAGTAAATCTGGTAATAATAATAATAGTAATAATAACTATCATTCACAAGATAGTTTTGACTTATGCTTGTTGGCCTTACATAACTTACATAAGAGCACTTCCTTTTACTCTCAAAAGTATCCTTCCTGGTTTGCACATGGTTAGCTTCCTTACAGGATTGCTTTGAATACTGAAGTAATGTATACAACGTATCTTGATGCTAGCTTGTTAGTATTATGTACCAAAAGGGTTACATAAATTGTTGGCCTGGTGCAGTGGCTCACTTCTATAAACTCAGCATTTTGGGAGACGAAGATAGGAAGCTTGCTTGAGCCCAGAATTCAAGATTAGCCTGAGCAACACAGAGAGACTCTGTCTCTACAAAAATTTAAAAAATTAGCCAGGTATGGTGGTGTGTGCCTGAAGTCCCAGTTGCTCAGAAGGCAGTGGCAGAAGAATTGTCTGAGCCCAGGAGGTTGAGGTTGCGGTGACCTGTGATCGTGCCACTGCACTTCAGCCTGGGTGACAGAGTAAGACCTTGACTCAAAAAAAAAAAAGTGTTATATAAATTGTCAATTGTCAAGCATTAAAGAATTGTAACAATGACTATTATTTGCATAGTGCTTTTAGTTTCTCCTAAATTCTGGAAGTCCTCTCCCTACTTCATTTTTGCTTTTACAACTGTGGAAAGCAAAATAAGATAGCTATTATTCTCATTTAAGAGACGATGTACTGAAGTCAGTATTGTCAGCTTCTAGGGAAGCCTCTGCGAACTCTGAATGACAGCCCTTTCCAACAGATTTTTCCTTACAACTTACATGCTACACTGATTTAATCTGCATAAAGTATAAGTCAGTATTTTCCAAATGTTCACATATTGTGCATCAGTTTTGTCTTACATGCATTTTTCTATCTTCCAGTGTCTAATGATGTCATGTATATACATATGTCTATAAATGCATATGACCGAAATGTAATTGAAATGATTCAGTGCATGCATCATTAAAACTTATTAAAATTCTCATCAATGAGAATATCTCATTTAGGCAGCACTATGTCAGTTACACTTTAGAACTCAGATAAAACTATAGTTTTAAAAATTAAATGTGGGAATTTTATGGGTTATTTTATTGTAGATGAAGAATTTATGCCCCATTCAGAAGGCTAATTTATTCCACTGAAGTCTTAAATTAAAGAGCATTTACCATTCTATCCACCATGTAGCTGAATTAAATGGATTAGAAAGCATGTACTTGTTAAGCAGTGTGGAAGATCCAATACAAGTGTGTAATGACTACAGAGCTATTTAACTTCATGGCAGCATACCAAAATGGTTAAGATCACTGGCTCTCAGTTTTGTCACTTAATAACTATGTGACCTTGGGAAGCTACTTAACCTTTCTGTGACTTAGTTGGCTCATCTGAAAAGTAGGGCTGCTAATAGTACCTATCTCATAAGGTTGTGAGGACTCACTGAGGTAATGCAAGTCAGAAAAGAGCCAGACAGTAAATGTTAGCTATTAAGAATACCCAAGTTCACTTAAGGATTTTTTTTTTTTTTTTTTGGTTAACAAAACAAAACTATAATATGTTGTGCTTTTCAAAAAATGATCCTGTCTCATATTAATACATGTTCTTTAGGTTGTTAGCACCTTTGCTATTTTTATTACTAATCATATTTTCAAATGGATATTTCTAAGACTAATTTCTACTTACAGATTTAGAAGGTGGTGGATTTGGGCAATTATTCTTGGCTTTTAGATAAGGCCTGTAAAAGACAAAATAAAATTAATCCTCAGTAAACAAGGATCCCAAGCAAGGCTTGGGAAGTATGATTAAAAGTTACAATTATATACCATAAATAAGCAAGTCTCTCTGCCAAAATTGGTGAGATGACCAGAACCACTGCACTGATTTATTACACAGCACCTTCATAATCAATATCTCATTGATTTGCCACTTTCTTTTTACTTAAATATAACTTTTTGACATCAAAATAAATCATAACTACTAGATCTAAAATATAACTTCAAAAACGCCTGCTAAGGTGACTGACATCTGAGTTGTTGTCTGTTATTTTGTGTTAGAGTCTCGTTGAAAGGGAAGTTTATTTATCCCTTGTCAGTTGAGGGATATGTGCACTTGGCTCAATCTCTTGTCCTGACTTTTGAGTAAAACCTATCAGATTTGTAAAAAATTAAACACTTGTTATACATAGCAGGTTATTTTTCTGTCATGAGGGGGATGCAATTGAGGAAAAAAAAGACTTTACATAAACAACTTTATTCAATCAGCCATTCAGCAATTGTTATTCTCTGCTGTGAATATTAGTTGTAAATGGCTTGAAATCTTGATGCTCAAAGCCAAGCCTATAAAATGATCACCACCCTCTCTATGTGTATATATATATATATATATATATATATATACACACACACACACATATATATATTTATGTGTGTATGTTTGACTATAAATGGCATGTACACATAGGACAGTTTGACCTCTACATTAAAAATTATTAAATTGTGGGAAAAAAAATTACAATTATAGCCGGGAGCAGTGGCTCATACTTATAATCCCAGCACTTTTGGAGGCAGAGGCGAGAGGATTTCCTGGGTCCAGGGGTTTGAGACCAGCCTGCGCAACTTGGTGAGACCTCGTCTCTATAATAAATCAAAAACATTAGCTGGGTGTGGTGGTGCATGCCTGTGGTTCCAGCTACTCGGAAGGCTGAGGTGGAAGGATCGCCTGAGTCTAGCAGGTCAAGGCTGCAGTGGCCATGATTGTGCCACTGCATTCTGGCCTAGGCGACAGAGACCCCTACTCAAAAAAAAAAAGTTACAATTAAAAATTTAAATCATTAGAATTTCTGTAATAGTAAAATAGTTCAAAATTATATTTAATAAAAAGATTTGACCAGGTATGATGGCTCATGTCTATAAACTCATCTCTTTGGGAGGCCAAGGCAGGAGGATCGCTTGAGCTCAGGAGTTTGAAACCAGTCTGGGGTAACATATCAAGACCTTGTCCCTAAATAAATAAATAAATTAGCTGAGCATGGTGGTGCATGCCTGTGATCCCAGCAACTTGGGAGACCCGTCAGCTCAGGAGATTGAGGCTGTGGTGAGCCATGATCATGCTACTGCATTCCAGTCTGGGTGACAGAGCGGGACTTTGACTAAAAAAAAAAAAAAAAAAATCTTTGTCATCCCTTTCTTAGTCCTGCATTCTTCTCCTTCCTCTCCTTGGATACCACCAACTACTCTTACCCATTTTTTTGTGTGATCCTTTCAGAGGTAGTCTATGCATAAATGTAGCATTCTAACAATATTAGTGAGAGATGTGCTTCCTTCATATTTGTATAGTTTTATTCATTCAAACATCATTCCTGGAGCCACACACTGAAGATAAAATGCTAAATAAAATCATTAACTGCTTCTTTAAAAAAATTCTTTGTTTTAAGTACCTTCAGATATGATTAACTTTCGGGGGGGGGGAAGTGATATAATTAAGAAAACTAGGACACATGAAATCTAGCTAGAGATAGGAAATACAAAAAAAAAAGAAGGAAAACAGAGGAGAATTTAGAAAGAATCAATCTCCAAGGAACAAAAGCAATTGCTTGACTAACAGAGACTTCGAGCATGACTTGCTTGATGTTTGTCCCTCCCATCTAGAACATGAACCCTGGGAAGGCAAGAACCTTTCTCTGTCTCGTTAAGCACTATATCTCTAGCATCAAGAGTAAATGTTATACTAAATAAACATCTGTTGAATAAATGAATTAGGTTCATTTAATCAAGGAAATAGAAATGAGTTAAAACCCAAGGTAAAATAAAAGATTTGAAAGCTAAGTTAAAAACAAATTTTCAAATAAAAATTTAGCAACCTAAGTGGGGAGAAAATACATTAATCCTAAGCTGATTAATAATAAATAATACCACAAAGATGATAAGATGTTAATAACAGATAAAAGTGGTCATGTTCTGTCCACCTCCATAGTAAACACTGAGAGAATGACTACAGAGCACTATCAGGCTAGAGGATATCAGTGTGCTGCTATGGAGGACTGACTGTAACTAACTCTTCAGCTTTAGTGTGAAACACCAGAACCAGGAGCACTCAATTCCTTGACCAAAAGTTGCCTTCATGAGAATCAACTTTTCTAGGAAAAAAAAGAAGGAAAAGGGCTTCCAGCATAGTAGGGCCTTTCCTCCTTTATTTGGAGATGATCACAGTAACAATGCTTAAATCTTTGCCAATGGACTATGCACTGCCTTGGGGTTTTTGTTATGTCTGGATTGAAATCCTCTTTTTGAATTATCATAGGATCCCAATGCAGTCTGACTGTAAGCAAAAAGGTTGTGTTTCAAAAAGGCTTTAAATTGCTATTACAAAGAGGACAACAAAACTCGCATAACTGTAAGAAGACAAACTCACTTGGTGTTTTGGCTCTTCAGTTTTCCTTTGGCTGCAAGGTACTCCTGAAGCTTTCTCTGTCGCTCTGCTGCAAAACAGGCAATCACACAAACAAGATAACATGAGCTCGAGATTTTAACCAGTTCATTAATTTCCTAAAAGATGACATTTTTCTCTAATGATTCCGGCTTTGCTCCATGTTATAAGATCTCTAGTTCTATAAGTCTGCCTTCAAGTTAATGTCAACATCAACAATATCATTTACATGCCAGACCTTATCCTAAGTTCTCTACACTTACATCACTTCTTTGAATCTACCCAACAATCCAATGAGGTATTTTGCAGTCTGAAATTCAGAGAGGGTGAATGGCATGCCCTAAGTTACTCAGCTAATATGTGGCAAAAACAGAACTTGAAAACAGGTTTACCTAACCTCAGAGCTCTTGTTCACAGCTACTGTTTTCAGTTTTGCATGGAGAAATTCTGTTAGTGGCTCATCTGAGCTGGTGAGCCATAACTTTTTTTTTTGTACAGGGATGATGATTTTTACCCACAAATTCCTACATGGCTTCCTTTAAGACTAGGAATAAAATATGCCAGGTTGGGGTGAGGGGACTCATGGCAAACATGGTAACTTTCTATGCAAGGCATTTGTGACGCGATGAAAATTCTGCCTCCAAGAAGTTTCAATCTAGCAGTGGAGATAAAATAAGCACAACAATAACCAAAATAAAAGGCAGAATCTAGGTGCTATAAGAGAGGGTCAAGGAAAATGTATGGGAATGGGTGATGAGAGCAAGTGGCTGGGTGATGAGAGCAAGTGAATGGGTGATGAGAGCAAGTGGCTGGAAAAGGTTACAATTAAATAATGGTTAAAAAAAAAAAGACTACAGGGGTGGCAAACTACTCTGAACCTCGTCTGAACTGAGCTGCCCTGTTTTGCTCTCTGACGCTGATGTATCCTTATGAGGCAGCTGTAAGAAATACAACATTTTAGGTCCACGCCAGGGAGTGTGGAGAGCAGGGGCTGACATATGGGGTTAGAGTTCCAGCTCTCTGGCTTCTAGCAAGTGAGCAAAACTTTGCTGCTACTGAGCCTATAAGATGGAGTCAGAAACGCCCATTTTTAAGGGTTGTCAGGTAGAGTGCCTAGGTCTGTGCTTAGAACTTAGTAGACATCCACAGCTGTCATAGATGAAACAAAACACCGTGCGCATCTTGGTGAAGAGGGCATCTGAGCAAGAGAATTTGGAAAGGCCGGAAAGAGGTCGGGGAACACCTTAGTCCTCGGTGCAGATCTAACCAATCAACTTCTAGTCTGCAGCAGGCTCGGGAGGTGTGGAGGAAAGAGCCCCGCGGGGGAGACCGAAGACCCAGTTTCAAGCCAGACTCCGTCCCTTGGCAGCTGCCAAGGCTCAAACTGCGCAGCAGAGGACCACACAGGGCTCCATCTGGAGCCAACTGTGGGTCGAAGAAGCGAGCTGCTTCCCATTGGTGGTGTGGCCTCGGGAAAGGGGCCTCAGTCTCTTTTTCTGGAACGTGGTGCTAATGACAACTTTTTTGCAGGGCTGTTTGCTGCAGGGCTTACTGGGAAGATGCCTGAGGCATCTGGCCCCGCGAAGAGCCTCCCTCACCCTGGGCCCAGCCGTCTCCCCCGAGGCTGGGAAATGACTCCCGACTGGAACCGCCTGAGGCGGGTTGGAGAGCCGACCGGCGACTTCCGCAGGGAGAACTCACACGGTGGCCTCCCTGCTTCCCAGCTCGTGCTCCCATGCCTGCAGGAAACGGGTTCACTCGCAGTGCTACTCACCCACAGCAGCGGCGGTGGGCCCCGGTCCCACCATGACTCTCAGCGACAGTTTTTCTTCCAAGGTTGCGCCAGGAAACAAAGCCGGAACGCCGGGCGTCCGCGGGTTTGAAACTCGCCAGTCGGAAGCGGGAGAGGGCGGGACAGCAGGGCACGGGCGTCTTGCGGTTGGCTCTGGCCCTCCGAGCCCTCCCCCTGGAGCTTTTGATTGGAGGAACGTGCAGCATTCTCCGCCCCCGACCCCCACGCACGTCAACATCTAAGGCGACTCTTGGCGCCCGGCGGGGCCGTTCCCTAGTCGTCCCCGCCTCCGTTCCGGCTTTTTCTCCCCAGCCCGCCTTTCTCCGCGCTCACCCTTGCCCCTCAAGTGGCTGTCGCTGGGAACGGTTGCTGTGTCGGTTACGCTGAAGCCCGCCGCGGTTGGCGCTCCGGGAACCCCTGAGCAGAGTGACAGGGCGGTCCTCCCAGGCTGCAGGGGCCGCTGCCTGGTTCCCGACTCTCAGACTCAGGTTCACAGGAGCTGTGAAAAAATAAGAAAAGAACCAAAATCGGATGAGTTAGGCCCCTCGTCACGAGTATATATCTCTCCCTTTTCGGGTCTTGTGACCGAAGGCTCCTAGTTCATACTAATGCAGGGTGGGATGGCTTCTTTTTAACTTTATATCGTTATTATTATTATTATTATTGTTATTATTATTGACAGGGCCTTGCCCTGTCACCCAGGCTGGAGTGCAGCGGCATGATCATAGCTTACTGCAGCCAAAAACTTCTGGTCTCAGGCGATCCTCTTGCCTCAGTCTCCCAGGTGACTGGAACTACAGGTGCGTGCTACCATGCCCTGGCTAATTTTTTGTTGAGAGGAGGTCTGGCTATGCTTTCCAGGCTAGTTTCCAATGATCCTCCCACCTTGGCCTCCCAAAGCGCTGGGATAACAGGTGTCAGACACTGTGCCTTTATTTTATTTTTAGTTGTGGTAAAATAGAATAACATCAAATTACCATTTTAACCACTTTTAAGTGTTGCATTATTTCCTACCAGTTCAGTGGTATGAAGTTCCTTCACGTTATTGTGCAACCATCACCAGTATCATCTTCAGAACATCTCATCTTCCCACACTGGGACTCTGTACCCATCAAACACTAACTCCTCACTCTTTCCTCCCCTCAGCTTCTGACAACCACCAATCCACTTTTTGTCTCTATGGACTTGACGACTCTAGGGACCACTTAAGTGGAATGATACAGTATTTGTCTTTCTGTGACTGACTTGTTTCACTTAGCATAAAGTTTTCAAGGCTCATCCAAGTTGCAGCATGTGTAGGAATTTCAGTTTTAAGGCAGAATAGCATTCCATTGTATGGAACTACTGCGTTTTGCTTCTTCATTCATCCATCTGTGGAAACTTGGATCGTTTCCACCTGTTGGCTATTGTGATTAATGCTACTGTAAATATGGTGAACAAATAACTGAGACCCTCCTTTCAATTCTTTTGGGTATTTATCAAGAAGTGGTATTGTAGGATCATAAAGTGATTCTATTTTTAAGTTTTTGAGGAACTGCCATATTCTTTTCAGGCTGGCTCCTGTTTAATGTCCATTTTTGATTTGGCCTCATCAGCCAGCAGTGTACCAATGGAGAAAAGGATGGCAGAAGGCAGGCCCAGTGTCCTGTGTCTTAGATACACCTAAATCCCCCTGTTTCAATCCTAAATTGTTTTCATTTTCAGCTATTCCCCAGTTTCATGAAGAGGTCTGGAAAATGCTCTTGGCCTTTGGTGTCAAGATTCCTCTTTCCTGGATGTGGGAGAGGTAAAGGGCCCATTTGCCAAGTTTGCTTCGACAGGTGGGTACTCAGCAGGGCATGATGCCATTGCAGCAACCCTTCTCTTTGGCCCCAGATAGACGTTTGGAAGACAGCTGAGCTGGGGTTTCTGGATTTATGCATTTCGGCATTTATGTTAGTAGTATAAACTCTTAAAAATAGGAGAATATCATTATTTTAGTAAACATTTTGAACTCTTTGTCTAGGACCATGACGTTGTGTCTAATGGGTAAATCGAGCATCTGGGCAAGAGTCTTCTTTGCTAATGAGTAAGAAAGAGACTCCTTCACAGTTTCAGAAAAGTGAAGGGGGTTCTGTTTGTCCTCAAAGAATCTGGGTGATTGAATGGGTTTTGGTGTGGGGAGTCTCTGGCTTGATCTCCCACCCAGTGCTGGAGTATTCCATAGATCCCATTTAGGTATTACAGCTTTGCAGGAATACAGCTGGCATTGGAATCTGCCTTACCTGTCTTGTAATTGGAGAACCCTGCTTGTAATGAAACTTAAAATGTGCTCAAATAAGCTCTCTCACTCATTAATCCCACTCCTTTGGAGCAACGTAGGCCAGTTCTGTGCTCTTTTCTCCTCTATCCTTTGGATATTTGAAGGACTATTTTGTAGGACACAAAATATGGGTAAAAAGCTACACAAGTTTAGAAATTCTCAACTCCTTCAGCAAAGTATCCCCTGAAGCTCTCCATGATCCTGGTGCTACACTACTGCTGTCAGGCTAAAGGCCTACACACCCTTCAGGGCCTGGCCTTTGCCGAGTTCCTCAGCCTTAGCTCGTACTACTATCTGCTTGTTCATTGTAATCCAGTTACACTGCTTTTCCTTAAGTTTCTTTTCATACTATTCTCTCTGTCTGGGAATCCAACTCCTTCTCCTCCTTTCTCCTAGTTTATTATTATTATTGTTTTCACTATAACAGCTTTATTGAGATATTTACATACCATACAGTTTTTCCACTTATATTATAGAATTCTATTTTAGAATCACCCTCTAAAGAAACCCCATAGTCATGAGTAGTCACTCTCCATTCTCTTCTCCTGACCCTTAGAGATCACTAATCTACTTTCTATCTCTGTAGATTTGCCTGCTTGAGACATTTCATATATATGAAATTATATGCTATGTGATCTGTGATGGACTTCTTTCACTTAACATAATATTTTCCAGGTTTATCCATGTAGCTGTATCAGTACTTTCTTTTTTGTGACTGGATAACATTCCACTGTATGGATATACCATATTTTATTTACCCATTCATCAGTTGATAGACATCTAGACTGTTTTCACTTTTTAACCTATTATTAATAATGCCTGTTATGAATAGATGCTATAAATATCCCTGTACAAGTTTTTGTGTGGATATATGTTTTCAATATTCATGAATATATACCTAATGAATGAAATAAATTACTGGGTCATGTGATAACTATGTTTAACCATTTGAGGAACTACCAGGCTGTTTTCTAAAAGCAGCTGCATAATTTTACATTCTCACCAGCAGTTTCTCCACATCCTCAACAACACTTGTTATTGTCCATCTTTTTTTATTGTAACCATCCTAGTGGGTATGAAGTGACATCTCATCATGGTTTTTATTTGTATTTCCTTGATGACTGCTTATGATGAGTCAAATGCTTTTTGGTCATTTGAATATCTTCTTTGAAAATATGTGTCTATTCAGATCCTTTGCCCATATTTAAATTGGGTCATTTGTCTTCTTACTATTGAGTATCTCTTAATTAACTTTTAATCATCCTTCAGTCTCAGGCATCACTTTCTCAAGGAGGCTTTTGTGACTAGCTTGATTATTTGTTTATGTTTCTCCCTGCTAGTCTGTAAGCTAAGGAAAGACCATTATATCCATTATGCCTAGTACCAAACAGAAACTCAATATCTGTTGCACGAATAGAACTTTCTCCTTTTAAAGACTCTTTCAATACAGTAACCACTGTATGTTAAGGTAGTTGAAAGCCTACTCAGTAATACTACTGGCTCTTAAAGCCAAGATGTCTTCGTCTTGTCTACCATGACATTACTAGAGACTTTGCTAAATGCCATGGTAAAAATAAAAATAAAATATAATGTAGAAATTGGAAAGAAATAAGCATGACTACTTGCTGGTCAAGAGACTTTATCTGACGGTTTTCAGAATGTTTACCTTCACTCTGGGTCCTATCCTCATCATACATGGGGAACCCCCAAAAAACTGGGATTACTTTTTGGAGGGCAGGCTCCTTGTAGTACAGGCTTCCTCCACTAGGTAAGTGTTCTAGGAATCTATTAGCATCAGTGTACCAGCTAGCATTGTTGTGAAAGGCTGTGTTTGGCGTCAGTGAAATTTTTTTTTTTTTGAGATTCTTTTAACAAGTTTGCCCATTTCATGATGAGTAATTTAGGAACACACCTGCCCATGCTGCGCTGAGTGTTCAGCAGTTTTTGACCAAAACCAGCATAACCCCATGGCCCACCCTCCCTGTTCACTCCATCTTTCCCTGATTTTGTTATGTTTCCTCTGATTAAAAAAAACATCCTCAAAGGGAACTGTTTTGCTGATGTGGAAGCGGTGAAACAAAAAAAGGCAGAAACACTAAAATGCATCAAAATCTACGGGTTCAAAAACTGTTTTTGAGCAGTGGAAAAGCATCTTGATAAGTGTATTGCATCAAACAGGGAGTACTTTGAAGGTGACTGAAGTGTAAACACGTAAGTATAAATATATAATTTTTATCAATAAATTCCTATTTTTACGGGGTCCCTCCTTGTAGATTAAAATACTTGATTTAATTGGTATCCTGATTGTGGATTAATCTCTCAGGGGTGAATTCACTAAGCAAAAGTGATAACAGCTACTCCTAAGTGAAATAATGAGTGAGTCAAACACTCTTAATCCAAGTGCTGTGCAAAACTCTTTCTGTAGTTTATCTCATTTAATAACATAAACCTTTCATGTAGCTGTTACCATCTCCATTTTTATGGAAACTGATATTGAGAGATTAAGAGACTAGCTCTAAGTTACAATGCAAATAAGATTTGAATCCAGTCCTGATTCCAAAGTCTGTTTTCTTTATCTCTTCAGTATTCTAAATTCATAAGACAGAGAGCCAATTTTAATTTACAACAGGGCAGGAATTGCAGAAGTTACTTGACACTTATCCTGTATGCAGCACATCCTCTTCCTGGAGGCAAATGTGCAGGAAACCAAGTTATCATTAAACGTTCCTTTGGTGAATATGGATCAGGAA